ACGATGACTGTGATGAGGAAAATAGTCAGAACACCGAGGATCACACTCATCATCTTTGGTAATCCGATAAAAGTGTCTGTGACAAAGACAGATTATAATAAATGAAATGACAGCAGCTGCAGTTTATTAAATGTGTGGTTCAGAATCTAACATCTTAAACTTTGACTCTTATTTTCATGAAATTCAATAAAACCAAATGAAGAGGTCATTCTTACCTTGGACCACTAAATATGTTGCTTCAACAATAACCGGACTGCGGTCTATTTTAAATCCACAGAAATAAAGTCCAGAGTCCAATAAATCCACTTGTTTAATTTTGAGAAACACAGTGGATAAATTAGTGCTCATTTCAAATTTTCCATTTTGAAATCCAGCTTAACACACACCGTTTGTGGTAGCAGTAGTTACATCCATGCATGTGTTTTTTTTAACCATGTTTGTCCATGTTGTTTATTCAGGTCCTATATTTAAGACAGGTATAGGGGAAGAGCCGCCCCAGTACTTCCTGTTTATATAGGGTCATGAGGTCAACTTCATGCATGATCTTATTCCTGTTCTTTGTTTAGAATTGTATTGTTTGGTCTGACCTATTTGTTTCAACGGTAGAGACTAACGAGGTCAGGTGTGGGCAAAGTCCTGTATAAAGCAAGTGAGATTTTTGCATACCAGGTTAATTGTTTTATGGTAGAATGGAGATGCCAGAAATAAAGGATACTTAAAAGAACTTAAATGGTCTGCTGATGCTATTTACTTATCACCTTCCTTGCTGTTTAAGTTATGCTAGCTCACACGCTCTCACTGGAGTCAAAAATTTCAACCATCTTCCCCACTATAACTGTGTCCTACAGAAAAATCCCCTTCCTTCCTGTTTTCTCTCCCCTTTATAGAGAAGGATTCAAATCATCACCAGTCCCTGTACTCAACTCCAAATAGGTGGCAGCTGGATGAGAATGGAATCTCCACTCCCACACGGGTGTGGCCTATATCACACACAAAACACTAAAACACCAAAGCATGCAATAATTAAAATGGAAAAATCACTGAATCACTGCACAAAAGCTTACAATTTGTTAAAATGATACATATTGCAACCCTTTCAAATCTAAAGAAATAAAAAGTTATACATTTGAACTTTTACTGTTAATGGGAACCACCAGTGCGTAACGCCAATGTCCCTGATCTGTTTAGTCTGTGAAAACACTCTGCAGTCTGACAGGAAGTATTCACTACTTGATACAGAGTCAGCTCTGTTGTGGTTAACGGTCAGCAGCTGCACGGCTTTGACAAGATGAGAATGAAAAACAGCTGTTAACCTGTCATTATCAACTTATTATTCTTTTGGCATTTAGCAGATGACTTAATTATTTATTTTTATCTTTTATGCTCTGCCTTTACTAACATTGTAAGATGTTGTGAAGCTATATGAGACATGAGAAGATTTAAGATGATGAAAGGCCTTTATATTTGTACTGATATTTAAGATTGATTACAGTTAAAAGAATTCTGAGAATAAGACCAAAATAACTGTACAAATGCTCACTGTATCATAACACTGTCCCATTTTTCTGTGCCATGATATAGCTATAGAATTGTTAATACCGAATTAAAGCCAAATGGCAACATCCAGGACTAAAATAAAACTTTGCCTGCTTAGAAGTGCAGTACCTCCAATGGCCACCTGAGGCTGGCACCAAAAATAAAAAACACAAACACTTTAGCGGCAACCTTCGGTCCTTCTTTGCCGCTTCTGCAGGACTAAGTTTCTGACTCGTGCTCTTGTTGAATCGCTTGTATGCCTTTCGGTAGCAAAAAAAGGCGCGAAAAAAGGAAAAAACATTTATTCTCCATACAAATGAAAAATACAAACAAATGCCTCTGGTGGGAGCTCCGTTTACATTCCCTTATGTTACAACAAAACACAAAACGGCCGGTCAGAAAACTGTTGCTCCACGTCCTGCTTACTTACCTAACCTTTCATCCCCCTCGTGCGGGCAATAAACACCCCCTTTACGACACCTACCAACACTTTACAACAACACAAAAGACTAACAAAGCAGGATCAAGTTATGAAGCACGGTATATTACACTATAACATAAAATAATGAAAATTATAACTAGAAACTCAAATTAAAGATCACAGCAAAATGTTGGCTAAACTGTCTAAGCTCCAACAAACACTAAAAACCATACTTACAAAAAACATATGGCTCGACAAAATACCTTCATAACCTCTTGATATTATATTGCATAATATGAAGCAGACAGAAATACATTCATTCCTGTTACCTTTGTTCAAATTATTTCCTCTTGCACTGATAATTCTGAGTGATTGATCCGTTTTTGAATAGTGGCTGACACTAATATCAATTCATACAGCCGCACATCTCAACAGCAGTTGCCTCGAGGTGCTTTCTGCTGTAAGGTAAAGACCCTACAATAATACAGAGAAAACCCCAACAATGACACGATCCCAAGGACTCAGCAACAGTGGGAAGGAAAAACTCCCTTTTAGCAAGAAGAAACCTCCAAAGAGGAAAAGGCATCTGCCACAACCAGTTGGGGTGAGGGGAGGAAGATAGGACAAAAAACACAATAAAGATTGTGGAGGCTAAAATGTTTTGACATATGACATATAGACCACTTATAACAGTAACACAGGACACCAATAGGATTCATGTACATTTTCACTTGTGATTTCACAGCATGACGACATCCACCAAACAAACATCAGCAGATCAATAATGACGCCTCGGTTCCATGCAGTGCTCGGTCGGCTAACAGTGAAGACCCCAAACCAGCCAGGCTGGTACTTGATATCAAAGTGATAATGGGTTAGGCTCAGGGAGGGGCGGCAATCTGCTGCAGTACTCTTGCTGGAGCATTTTGGATTAACATAGCCCACATAAGAAATTGCTAATCCATTTGCTGCCTTCAACTTTTTTCAGTTGAAATCACATTGATTTCCTGGTTCCTGATCTACAAACAACCTCTTAAAACAGGCTTTTGGCATTAGTGTTACATTAGAATCAGTATCTAATGAAAATTTTACATCCTTGCCATCAACAATACCTCTACTTGTCCCTAAAAATTAAAAGTGGTTTATCTGGACTTGACCACCATCATCCTTTCCAGTCACCTGGAATTAATAGTTTAAAGCCATCTTGGATTGAGTTCCCCGAAACTCCCTTGCCATCTGTCTACTGATTCCACACTAACTACAGATGGGTCACTCTTGTTGATCCCACTGATGCAGTGGCCGTTCCACTGGCTGAGAAATTTGCTCTGTCGCTGGGAATGGCTCTGAGCCCTCGCCATGTGTCCTGTACTGATAGGACGAGAGTCCTGCCTTTCTCTCTCCCCTTTGGGAACTTGGCATGTCTGTGGAATTGCTGCTGGTTGAGCAAATTTCCTCAGCTCCTCCTGAAGAGTATTCTTAAGATCCACGATTTGCTTGTTCATTTCTGCGAGAATCTCCACTTTAAATTAATCTTTCCAATTGAAGGTGTCATGGCCACTTTAAATCTCCTTTTACTATTTCACAGGCAAAGTTTTCATGCAAGCCGTGCAAAGCGCCTGCTTCCCACTGTAAGGCCTCTTTACTCACCTGTTTGAATGGGAGATTAGGGTAATGCTTTAACAGATGCTGTAGATTTTATATCGCACCTTCTCTGAGGCCTAAGGCAAACTGATCACGCATGTGCAGGTCAGCACACCAAGGGTCTTGTGGCTCTTTTATCTGCAGGCGGTGCCTTTTCTTAATCGTAAAGTAAACTTTCTAATAGGCTCTTCTGGCCTTTGTCTGCAATTGTAAAACATGGCATGCAAGGTACCCACAGCCGTTTTATCCCCATACGGTTTTGCACTCAGCAGAAAATCAGACTGCTGTACTACAGACCACTTTTGAGACCATGTTAACATTTTTTGGATAATTCATCTGTCATATTGATCACTTTAAGGCAGGTGGTTTCATATACTGGCCACAATCCTGTTGACAATGCTAAAGGAGCCACAAAAATGGCATCATCACAGGAAATGAATACGTTCTAAATAGTGACCTGTAGAAAACCACCACATTCAAAGTGAAACTAGGGCATACAAGATTTTCCTCCGAAGCAGACTAGTGGCTGCAGACACAGATCTGGCCTGCAATCCAAGGTCCAAACCCACCATGGTCAAAATTGTTAGCCTGGTTAAAAACAGGAAAAGGTGGTCACTGAGAAAACACAGCCAAGCACATGTCAGTATTGCTCTTCCTCACCAAGTCTTGAACAGTTTCCTCTCATCGGTTACCTCTAATTTCGCAGTAGGCTTTTCCTCTGTGAACTCCCAGAATATGCAGGTCCAGCACACCAACAGTCTCCAATCCAGTTTTTTTTAATCACAACAAATCCATATAAATAATAATTGAAACAAATCCTCCACCCACTGTCATTTGATCACTTTAACGCAAAACCCTGCAGGCCTGGAGGGTTTTGCTCTAAAATGCTCACCTCTCTGTGACAAAGTGGTTAGGCATGAACTCATTTACCACTTATCCCTTAACCATATTGATAATTTCTTTCCTTGTTATTTTACAGTCAGCCATAATGCTTTAATTTAGACATTGCTGGTGTAACTTTGCTTAACACACACCGTTTGTGGTAGCAGTAGTTACATCCATGCATGTGTTTTTTTTAACCATGTTTGTCCATGTTGTTTATTCAGGTCCTATATTTAAGACAGGTATAGGGGAAGAGCCGCCCCAGTACTTCCTGTTTATATAGGGTCATGAGGTCAACTTCATGCATGATCTTATTCCTGTTCTTTGTTTAGAATTGTATTGTTTGGTCTGACCTATTTGTTTCAACGGTAGAGACTAACGAGGTCAGGTGTGGGCAAAGTCCTGTATAAAGCAAGTGAGATTTTTGCATACCAGGTTAATTGTTTTATGGTAGAATGGAGATGCCAGAAATAAAGGATACTTAAAAGAACTTAAATGGTCTGCTGATGCTATTTACTTATCACCTTCCTTGCTGTTTAAGTTATGCTACCTCACACGCTCTCACTGGAGTCAAAAATTTCAACCATCTTCCCCACTATAACTGTGTCCTACAGAAAAATCCCCTTCCTTCCTGTTTTCTCTCCCCTTTATAGAGAAGGATTCAAATCATCACCAGTCAGCTACTCCCTGTACTCAACTCCAAATAGGTGGCAGCTGGATGAGAGTGGAATCTCCACTCCCACACGGGTGTGGCCTATATCACACACAAAACACTAAAACACCAAAGCATGCAATAACTAAAATGGAAAATCACTGAATCACTGCACAAAAGCTTACAATTTGTTAAAATGATACATATTGCAAGCCTTGCAAATCTAAAGAAATAAAAAGTTATACATTTGAACTTTTACTCTTAATGGGAACCACCAGTGCATAACGCTAATGTCCCTGATCTGTTTAGTCTGTGAAAACACTCTGCACAGTCTGACAGGAAGTATTCACCACTTGATACAGAGTCAGCTCTGTTGTGGTTAACGGTCAGCAGTTCTCAGAATTCTGAGAATAAGACCAAAATAACTGTACAAATGCTCACTGTATCATAACACTGTCTCATTTTTCTGTGCCATGATATCGATATAGAATTGTTAATACCGAATTAAAGCCAAATGGTAACATCCAGGACTAAAATAAAACTTTGCCTGCTTAGAAGTGCAGTACCTCCAATGGCCACCTGAGGCTGGCACCAAAAATAAAAAACACAAACACTGTAGCGGCAACCTTTGGTCCTTCTTTGCCGCTTCTGCAGGACTTATGTTTCTGACTCGTGCTCTTGTTGAATCGCTTGTATGCCTTTCGGTAGCAAAAACAAGGCGCTTGTAAAAAAGGAAAAAACATTTATTCTCCATACAAACTGAAAAATACAAACAAAGGCCTCTGGTGGGAGCTCCGTTTACATTCCTTTTATGTTACAACGAAAGCACAATAAACGGCGCCGGTCAGAAAACTGTTGCTCCACGTCCTGCTTACTTGACTAACCTTTCATCCCCCCTCGTGCTTAACACACCCCCTTTACGACACCTACCAACACTTTACAACAACACAAAAGACTAACAAAGCAGGATCAATTTATGGAGCACAGTATATTACACTATAACATAAAATAATGAAAATTATAACTAGAAACTCAAATTAAAGATCACAGCAAAATGTTGGCTAAACTGTCTAAGCTCCAACAAACACTAAAAACCATACTTACAAAAAACATATGGCTCAACAAAATACCTTCATAACCTCTTGATATTATATTGCATAATATGAAGCAGACAGAAATACATTCATTCCTGTTACCTTTGTTCAAATTATTTCCTCTTGCACTGATAATTCTGAGTGATTGATCCGTTTTTGAATAGTGGCTGACACTAATATCAATTCAATTCATACAGCCGCACATCTCAACAGCAGTTGCCTCGAGGTGCTTTCTGCTGTAAGGTAAAGACCCTACAATAATACAGAGAAAACCCCAACAATGACACAATCCCAAGGACTCGGCAACAGTGGGAAGGAAAAACTCCCTTTTAGCAAGAAGAAACCTCCAAAGAGGAAAAGGCATCTGCCACAACCAGTTGGGGTGAGGGGAGGAAGATAGGACAAAAAACACAATAAAGATTGTGGAGGCTAAAATGTTTTGACATATGACATATAGACCACTTATAACAGTAACACAGGACACCAATAGGATTCATGTACATTTTCACTTGTGATTTCACAGCATGACGACATCCACCAAACAAACATCAGCAGATCAATAATGACGCCTCGGTTCCATGCAGTGCTCGGTCACTTTCTGAGTCTATCGAGTAGATGAATAAATAACATCTGGGTCCACTTCTGTGGCTGATGCAGGCCTGTGAGGACTTTCTGTTTTTGGATGAAATGTCACAGCTGCATAGTGCAGGTGCTCTGAGCTCTGCCTCTGTGAATAAGAGAACTGTCAGTCTCACAGCTGAGTAAAAAACGACTAACATTGACTGATAAAGAGTGTGAAGGACACAAAATGAAACACTTCACCTCTTCTTGTTGTAGATTCTTTCCTTCAGTGTGAACTACGGCAAAAAGTACAAACAATTTATGAGGTTGGTTGAATTATAATATTAAAAATATTCCTGTTGTGGGATTTTTAAAATAGAAAATAGTTGTTGTTCCTTTTTAAGTGTAATCATAAAAGACATGTAAAAATCTGTTACAATAAAAATACCTTTCTGAAGCTTTTTGATTTTAACAGCCAGACAAACGATGACTGTGATGAGGAAAACAGTCAGAACACCGAGGATCACACTCATCATATTTGGTAATCCGATAAAAGTGTCTGTGACAAAGACAGATTATAATAAATGAAATGACAGCAGCTGCAGTTTTTTAAATGTGTGGTTCAGAATCTAACATCTTAAACTTTGATGCTTATTTTCATGAAATTCAATAAAACCAAATGAAGAGGTCATTCTTACCTTGGACCACTAAATATGTTGCTTCAACAATAACCGGATTGCGGTCTATTTTAAATCCACAGAAATAAAGTCCAGAGTCCAATAAATCCACTTGTTTAATTTTGAGAAACACAGTGGATGAATTAGTGCTCATTTCAAATTTTCCATTTTGAAATCCAGCGCAGAATGAAGCAGGTTCATGAGGTTCGAACATGGAGGCAATACAGGTGAGTTTGGCTCTCTTGGTCACTCTGAACCAGAGTATTTGTGTGGGAGAACTGGAAAAGTTGGAGCACAGCAGCGTGACTTCTTTTCCAGACTGAACCTCCACAGGTTGTGATACAGGGAGCCAACCTGAAAAACAAAAGAAAATAAACAAACACAAACATTAAAGCAACAGAATCTTAATAAACAGAATCAGCTGGTTCTGTGGAGTAAATGAGTTGCTGTACTTACTGAGGCTGCAGACAAGTAAAACTGTTAGAGAGTCAAAGTTCCTCATTGTGCACACGATGTCCCTGAAATGGTGCTCTACAAGTTCTTATAGGGTGATCTAAAGAGGTGTGGTTTTTAGTATCTGTATGTGCTGTACAATACATCTGTGAAAGAATAATCACGCCCCCCAGAAAGTTTAACCCTAACAGTGAACCAAGAGACAAAGATTGTGATTGTTCGCATGTAGACTCTCAAACCGCTGTTGAAATATTTTATCACATCTGCTCATTAAAAACAAACCTCTCAGAGAGTCCCAGTACAACTCCACATTAACGCTCTTGGAACTGGGGTTACAGATGACCTTGAAGGACACAGCAACCAAAGCGATCCTGACAGGCTTGAGGTTTTGTCTGTCTCCCTCTCCCTCTGAAAGCCATATCTCTAAGGCCTGATTTACATATTTCTGGAGGATCTTTGTGGCTGACCTTGTGCTGGCTATGTGTTAATTATTTTGTGATTGTTTCCTGGCATTTTATACCAGTCAATAGAAAAAAATAAAATGCTGCCACTTTTCCTCTCCTGGCTCCCAACTTTCAGTTTATTTTAGGGGTGTTACTCTGTCACTGCTATATTCAAAAACTGCAGTGAAGAAGTAGCCAAAAATGCACATGAGGTGTGGACAGCACTGAACACGCTGCAGTAGCTGCAGGCTGCATTGACCTGGTGTGGATTCTCGGGTGGAGCTGTGGGCAATCATTCCTTGTTCCTTTTTCTGAAGGTTGTTATTTCAAACCATGGTGGCAAGCAGGCCCCATCTGAAACATGCTAATACTAGTGCTGTTTGCCAGTAACTTTGTTAGCCTCCTGGTGCTCCTGAGGATTTTCACAACCACTGCTAGCTATTCTTAACTAAACCTTCCAGCTGATTTCTGAACCTGAAAAGGAAAGTACTTCCCAGTAATTTACCTGCTTGCCCATTCTCCTGCATTGCACTCTGAGCAGCGGCATTTCGTCTGCTCGCCAGTTACTCCAGATTCTCTGATTAAAAAGCAAACAAGTAAGGCCTCAGAACCAAATCACAAATATTTCAAGAACCTTTTGAACTCAACTTGACCATTAGTAACATCTCTTCTCTGGAGGAGCTCTTTGTTTCATTCCTGTTGGGTAATAAATTTATTCAAGCCACTTCCCTCTTCCTATGGGAAATTCGGTTTCCAAATAGCACAGCACGTATAGACCAGAGGATTTTTTTTGGACTGCATACAGTCCCACTGCAAACCTCGTCTCTCACAGTATCAGGAAGTCATCTGACTGGTCCCAAAGTCAGGGTCGTAAAAATCTGAGACTTCATCATAAAAACTCAGAATGTGAAATGACTGGAATCTACAGAAGATTTATAAAGGCACACTATTACAGTAAGCTCATTCTGACAGTACAGATCATCCTCAGACCCAGTTATCACAATAAATCAACATTATCATGAACAATACGCCAATATTCAGCAGTCTGGCAGGCAGGAAGTGGACCTGAATGCAGAATTTAAGAGGCTGAACGAGACACAGACAATAAGCACTCACGAGATAACAAGGAGAAACAGGTGGGAGCACAGCTGAGGGAAGCTAGCATAATGACTCAAGGGGAAGTAAAACTAAACACAAACTAAGACAGGGCAACAGTCAGTAAAATAAAACTGTAAGTGAGACATAACTGAATGGAGAGATGAAACTGATTAACTGATAACTAAATGGGGAAACGTGAAAGACACCCACAGAGAGACAAAACCGACGCAGTGACAAGAATGAATGAACAGAATAGAAAACAAAAGAGAATTAACAAAGCTGTAAGCAACTTTTATAATCAAACCCTTTTCTGGATTACTTACAACCCCCCTCTGTCTACATAGAAGTTAAACTGTGAGCTTCAGTTTAACAGTATTGTACTATAGAGAGTAGTGTGTTGCTACAAATTGCATCTGTTCATTAATGTGAGACAATGAATATCAAATGGCTTGAATGCGACACTAGTGGAGAGGTCAGTCACTGTGGTGGTAGAATCAGCTCTGTGACACTTCTGTTTTCACTCTTTGACAGAAGGTCACTGCTACTCATGTCATCAGAGCCCCTCCTTTAAATTTAACTCATACTGGTTATTGACATACTCATGAACTTTAAAGAGGAAAAGAAACAAAGACAGAGGAGAGAGTCCTTGAGCAGTCACTGTCTGGAGCCTCATTTTGACATCAAGCGAAAAGATGACCTTAGAACACCACTCAGGATCAGAGTTTTTCCAGTTTGTTGTTCCACCAGCTTCTTGACATTTGATGACTTATATATTGTGTAAAAAGTCATCAAATGCGACCCAATACGGTCTTATAACCCATCTATGATAAAATACGATATATATCCGATCATCTTTGTTAGTGTTGTTATATGACAAGTTACACCATTCTTGAACCTTTAAATATGTTAAGTTTACAGTCACAATATATGCCAGAGTCACATAAATCAAATTTTTAAGGAAGATATTTTTGAGTTGAGATGTTGCTTTGAATATCTCCTGTTTCCTTATTTTCACAGTGAGTCTGTCTCTGTAGACAATATAGATATATAAATGATAAATTGATGAAATCCAGTGAGGCTGGGTTCTAATGACTACGTGTGTGTGTGTGTGTGTCTGTGTGTGTGTGTGTGTGTGTGTGTGTGTGGAGTGAAGAAGAGGACCCAAGTGCAGACACACAAGAAAAAAAACTTAATCTTAACAGAAAACGAGCAGTTTAATAAGGCTGGTTAAACATTACAAAACAAAAGGCAAAGCTAAACAATAACCAAAACTGGGAAAACTACACAGAAAACATGACACATCTTAAACATGAAAAACCCTTAAACGTGGCTACCTGGCATAAATACATGAAGACCTGGGACATGGCATGAAGTGGCAGGATAGCACACGATCTGACAAAGACTGAATGACACACACAGACTAATTATACACAGGTGTTGCTGTAACGTATTTGACCTTTAAATGCGGCCTCCGAAGGATGTAGTCACTGAATTGAGACACAGCCAATGACACCACAGAGGAAGAGTAAAAATAAGCACATTTGACATGGAAACACCAGACTTTCAAAATAAAACAGGAAACAATTAGAGACTTAGACATGGCACACAAGCTTGACAACATGAAGCACGCAGACAAGGAACACATGACATATTGACACAAAAGACAAGAAACTAACAATGAATCAGGAATTATACGAGAAACAACCCCTAACTAATAATGTCAACACAAGAACTAAGCATATATTAAATATAATGTAAGAAATCACAAAATACAAAATGAACTTAAAATGCTGGGTCACAGACTCTGCCCTGACACAAGCAGCGTAAAATCAACAAACATTCTGCTCATCGCATTTCTTCGCGATTATTCCTTGAGGCCTTTTCACATAGGACACAGCATGCGCTGTGCTGACCCAAAATTTGTGGTGACTGCTGCATCCAATGTGAAAAGGCCTTGAGCTGTCCATCATTTTAAATTACCCACCATCGCACTATGAAAGTTGGGATAGTTTGGGCCATGAAGCATACACCTAACTGTCCTTCAAATCTGGGGAAAAGGAGGCTCTCCCAAGGCTCATCACCTCGCTGTGACGCAATCAGCCTTCAAAGGCACCCTTCAGAAGGTGCAGCCCCTGAATTACGACAAAGCTAACAGTCGATGTGGGTGAAGGTTTTTGTTTTTCTTATTCTTTCTATTTAAAAAAAAAAAAAGTCAAGATGAAGGACTATGCCTGCTTTAACTGTGAGTTGTATTGATATGTGAGCTGTTGCCTGTAACTACAGACCTCACCAAATGCACTAACGCAGAGGTGTTTATTTAGAGCAGGGGTGTCAAACTCAAATACACAGTGGGCCAAAATTCAAAACTGGAACAAAGTCGCGGGCTAACGTTAATATTTATTGAAA